CGGCCGGGGGAGCCCCCGGCAGCACCGCAGGGCCGCCGCCCCCGCCCCGGTGTCCCCCCGCGGGCTGCCCGGCCCGGGCCTGCCGGCACCCTGCGCGGAGGCCGGGTGCTCCCTCCAGCCTCGAATCCTCCTCCTCCTTTTCCTTCTCCTCCTTCTCCTCCTTCTCCTCCTTCTCCTCCTTCTCCTTCCCCTGCTCCTTCTTCTCCTCCTTCCCCTTCCCCTCCTTCCCCTTCTCCTCTGATCCTGTCAGTGCCACCTCCCCCCACAGCCTTTAAATCGACAATTCCTATGAAATGTGCCCGGTGCCACAAAGACTCCTTTGATCTCACTGAGTAAGGGAAGGAGGGGGCTAGAGAAGAAATTAAATAGCAAAAGAAAGAGGAAACAGGAGGGGAAACTCCTCCCATGGGAAGCTGGTAAATGATCCCTCTTTCTCACTAGAGCAGCCAGGCAAGAGCCTGTCCCAAGCCGGTGCCCTGTCCTGCTGGAGCATGCAGGGTCACCCCGCTCTTGGCCCTGGCACAGGGGTTGGAGCTGGCTGGGGATGCCCCTCGGCAGAGAAAGCGGCTGGGGCAGCAGGCACTGCCGGGAGCCCTCCCCACCACATAACCCCGGCCCCGCGAGAGCCGCTCTGGCATGGAGGAGCTGGCAGCCAAGCCTGAAGAAGCAGCCAGAGGGTACGAGCAGCAGTTTGTTTTCCACTGCTTGCCAGGAGCCGTGTGGAGATGCGGCATTGCCAGGGACGTGCTCTGTGGAAGCGCAGGGCTGCCGATTGCCAGCCCTGCCGTGGGATGGCTGGCCTTTCCCCACCCGCCCTGGCTCTTGCTCAGGGGAAGGCCTGAGCTGTGTGACAGGGGATGAGGTGGGTATTCCTGGGGTCCTTTCCTTTCCCGCTCCTACCATGACGTTCCCACCAAACCGGAGCTGCACTGTGAGGCCACCGGAGGCTGCAGGTCCCTCTCTCTTATGGCAGGGATCACCCTGCTGCCAGCATGTCTCTGCCTCTCGGAGCTGCTGTGTGAGAGCTGGCTGCTGGACAAGAGCTGACCCACACACGGCACGAGCAGGTCTGGCCCTGCCCTGACTGCTCTGCCTCTGCCCGGGATGAAGAGCATGGGCAGCCAGCAGTGATGGATAGTGCTGTCAGAACCCCTGCACCCGCGCCCAGGCCAGACTAGAGGGGCTGCCGCTGCCCAGCTGGGAGCGAGTGAGCGAGGAGAAGAGACACTGCAGCGGCAGGGCAGGGGGATCTGCTGGCAGCTTCATTGCCTCCTTCATCAGTGCTGCAATGGCATTAGCCCAACTCTGCCACCATCATGCCCTTGCCTTGGGGAATGGTGCAGCCAGGGGGGACCCCAGTTCCCCCTGTGACAGCCCAGTGCCGCCTCGAGCACATCATCCCCCCAGCATGCAGGGGCACAAGCCTGTCCCCAGTCCCACAGCCTGGCACACCTGAGGGGTCCCTGAGCATGGCACAGCATGTGGGGTCTGCTGTAGCCAGGGGAGAGGGACTCAAGAGGGCTGAAAGAAGGGGCTGCCTGAGAATGAGGGCACCAGGGTCCTGCAGGGAGGCTGCTCGTTGGGGTCTCTCTTCTCTTCTGCTCCTTTGGCCTCTCTCAGCCAGCCAGCCCCTTGTGCCCACCTCAGCCCCCTCAGCCCCGTGGGGTGAAGCTGGGAAGTGGCAGGGCAGAGGGGACGGGGTTCCCAGGCTGAGGAGGGGACTTGGGGCAGAGATGGTGTGTCGGTCCATCTCTCAACTACTTTTTTTTTGTTATTTTAACATTTTTCCCTTTTACACTCTTGCTGCCTTAACATGACCTTGGCCAAATTATTTCCCCTCCCTTTGAGATTTATGGCCCTTTTCCAGAAATGATCTGTTCTGTCTACGAAAATAGACATGGTGCTGTTATTACATTTTAAAATATAATAAGGGCTGGGAGACCGCTCTTCTGCCGCTCTCCCTCCCCAGCCCCAGCCCCCCCTCCCCCATCCACAGAGCACAAACCCCACAGGTCGCTCGTGTGGGGCCAAGAGTGGGTGCAGCAAGGGGGGGGGCATCCCCAGCCCTTTCCAGCTCCAGAGAAAGGGGGGGAGGTCTCCCTTCCTGGCTCCCCTTGGCAGAGCTGGGTAGTGGGAGATCTCCCATCTGAGACCACAGCTGCTCTCAGAAAATGCTGGGACTGCTGGAGGACAGATGGGGCAAAACGGGCTGGGCTTCCCGGGGGGGACTGGGGGTGGTCCCCGGCTCTGTAAAGCCAGTAGGACCTGGCTCATGGCTGGAAAACCCTGCTCACAGCCTGAGAGACAGCATAGCCCATCGCTCTGGGACTCCTGAGCCCTCTGGGCACATGCAGGGTGGCCTTTGTGCAGTCATGGTCTCTTTCAGTGGTTTTGTTGAGGTTATTGTTATTGTTCTACCAGGGCCTGGAGGCGAGTTGTCGTCCCTGAGGATGGCTCTGGTTCCCCCGCTGTGTACCCTGCCAGCAGTGCATTAGGAACCTGTGTGAGCAGCCACGAGCTCTGGTGCGATGGTGATGGAGAGCAGAGGCAAAGGCAAGTTCAAACCCACCTCCCCAGCCCCATCTCAGCCAGAGGGGGGGGGTCTGGGATCACAGGGGTGTCCCAGAGATGCAAAATAAACCAAACATGAAAATCAGATTAAACTTGAACATTTTGGTTGTTGCTTCTCCTCCCCATCACCCTGTTTGTTTCCTGACTTGTGCATGTATGTGTGTGTGTGTGTGGCTGTGTCTCTCTGTATACATTTTGGGATAATTTGCTTTCTGTTGGATTTTTCCCCTCCTGTTGCAAATGCAGAGCCTTGTGCTGTCCCTGCTCTAGGCAATCTGCAGACATGAGCCTTTAAACGTGGTCGCCCTTGGGCGCAGGAAGGCTGTGCAGATGCCACACTCAGGTAATTTAAGGGGTGCATTCAACAGCAAATTTTAACTCTGCAGGATGTCCAGGGCTGATGTCTCTCTGGAAAAACACCATCTGGGCAAAGGAAAAGGGGCTGGGGAAGTGTCTGGGTTTGCTTTGCTTTCTGCTCAGAGGAGTCACTTTGATCATCCTGGAAAGCCTGTGGCTGCGTGCTCTGGTGTCAGGATGGGTCTGTCCCACGGGCCGATGGCATTGCTGCCTTCCCGAAGGGCGACAGGGCCGAGGACGGAGCTCTGGTGGGGAGGAAAGGGGCTGGGCCTGTTGGTGGATTAAGGTTAAACAGGAGGAGAGGCCGACCCCTCACAGCTGCTGCTCTTCAAATGTTTTATTTCCTGCTCTGTGTAAGCCCGGATTGACCTGCAGGCAGCAGAAAATGTCGAACAACAAACGGTGTCACTGAAAGGAGAAAACCACCAGAAAACCCACGAGAAAAACCCAGTGGGTTGTACGGGCCCCAGCCCGCTGGCTGGAAACACGGGGGGCTCTGGGGAGGAGGGTGGGCAGCACTGGGCAGGGGGCACTGGGGCTGGTGTAGGGCGAGTGGGCTGGCAACGTGGGGGTCCCTTTCCCCAGCTCAAGTATCTGCCCGTGCTCGAGTTTTCCCAAGGGTGACGGGCCTCCTGGACCAGCGTCCCGCGGGGCTGCCGGGGCTGGCGATGGTGGGGAGCGGGGGCCGGGGCGGGTGCTGGCAGACCCTCCTCTGGGCCAGGCGGACACCGGCCCTTTGCTGGCGGGCGGAGGGGGGATGCGTGGGGGTCCCTGAGGGGGAGCAGGGGTCCCGGGGCCGGGGGAGAGGGCCGAACCCAGGAGCCCTTCCCGGGCCAGCGCCCTGAGCTCTCGGGGGAGAGGGATGCTGCCGCTCCCCGCCATCACATGCCGCAGGGAATTCTCGGTGAGCGAGACTAGCAGCCCCGGGGGAGGATTCCTGGTTTCGTGTCTTGTCTTTTCTTGATTTAAAAAAAAAAAAAAAAAAGAGTGGGGGGCGGGCAACGACTTCTTGTGTTTAGTGTGTATTAGAAAAAAAAAACCAAAACCAGAGCGCTGCCTGAGCGGGAAGGGGCGGTGGCGGGGCGGGGGGCGCAGGGCCTTGGCTG